ATGTACCAACACACACCCTCCAACTAAAACAAATCTTACTTACTGCAAAATTAGCTAAGTTAGCTTTTGTTTTCTTGCTCCTCTGAGAGGTTCTTTTGTAAGTTATCAGCTCTAACAATTTCACATTTGTCATGTCCAGCCATGTTTGAATAGTTGTTGCTATTCTCAGTTTCTCCATTCATGGGCAAAAGCTAAGAAACCTAGTGCAGCTATTTAGAAGGCAGGGAGAGGAGAGGATACAGCTCATCCTGCCTTTAAGGTTGTATAGAAAACCTTGGCCACCTCACCTTTAGTGGATCATTATAGAGAGAACCTTGAAGAGATTGTTTTAGAAATTACATTTGCAAGCCCACTCCATTTTTCAGGGAGCCTGAGACCTGACATCTGATCAACGGCAATGAACCAACGTGCTCCTAAACTTACATCAGTGTTTTAAATTGCACCTGTGGGCCTGTTTGCTTCAGATTTCTCGAATTGTCATGGTTCAACAGAGCAATAGTTGTGTGGCAAATTAGAAACACAAAAAGTGACACAGGTTGAAAACTTAAAACATAGTGAAATTCATTTCTTTCTGTAACCAACATGTAATTATTCTGCTGACATGGAGAATTTCCTGTAATAACAGTAATGAGGATATCAAATGTGAGGAAAAATGGCCAGCTTTGAGACTGTAGTAAGTGACTGATATCTTTTGTCAAGGAAAAACATTCTTCATTTTTTAAAAGTAGCTTTTAGCACATCTCTATTTTTTCTCCATTTCTTTATAATCTCTACGCTTACCCCTCCTATTGTCCCGTCCTCCTTACTGTAGTGTAACATCCTGTCCTAAATATTAATGTTTATGCCTTCTGACATTTCTTTTAAAATGCCAAAGTAATATAACCATCCCACAGAACCCACACTGCATATATATGTATATATTCCCACTAACAGAGCTCCATCCTGATCTTCCAGAAAGGGCAGAAGGAGGAGGCCATTGGTGCTGCTTGTGTTCATGAGAATGATTTGTGGTGCTGTCTGTGACCAGCTAAGAACACACATGTATGTGCTGTACCCCTGTGCCTCGTGGGAATACAGTCTGCCTTCCTACCGGCTGGACCTGGAGCACAGAGCAGCAGCAGCCTTGCTTCTGTATGGAGGTTACCAGATTTATCCCCCCCTAGCACAACTGACTCTAATTAGGCTTACAACTTCAGAATATTTAAATTATTTTTTTCTCTTATGAATAAATGAATCGAGTATAATTATCAACAATATAAATATTTGCATATTAATATTTTCATGTTTGTATTTGCTATAATAGCATTAAAATCAACATTAGTTTTTCCACAGGATTCAACACTACAAATTTTACCCAGTTAAATTTATTTTTGTTTTTAAACAAGTTCAAGGAGGAGAGGCTCACAGATCAATGGTCTAGAGCCAGGCAGGATGCAGCAAATAAATAAATAAATAAATAAAAAATCAGCAGCCATGTTTTGAAAAGGATATGTTACATTGGTGCTTCTGTCATTTCTTTTGCTCATTAGTTATATTCACGAATGATGGTAGATCAAAGAAAATTGGCTTTTGGTCCTAACTCAAGCTTAAAAGAAGCATCAGTGGCAGGTAAACATGGCTATATAATTGAAAAAGAAAACAAAGTGTGTAGACAGTGTGGCAGATTTTATAGAATTAACAGAAAAAGCTTTCTGACACTATGAGGGTTGTTGGTCAAGAAAGAGTGTGTTACAACTGGGTCAGTCAAAATGAAACCATTACATGCTGTGCTGCAGCTCATCAGAGTGAAGGTATAAAACAATAAAGCTTATGGGTTTTTGCTACAGGCCACCTGATCAGGAAGTTGCTGAGGCCTTCTACGGACAGCTGGAAGTAGCCTCACAATCACAGGCTCTGGTTCTTCTGGGGGACCTCAACCACCGTTACCTGCTGGAAAGACAACACAGCTAGGCACAAACAGTCCAGAAGGTGCCTCCAGAGTATTAATGGTAACTTTTGGGGAGATGAGTGAGGAGAGGTGTACTGCTGGGCCTTGTACTGACAAATAAAGAAGGGCTGCTTGGAGATGTGAAGGTTGGGAGCAGCCTTGGATGCAGTGACCATGAGATGGGGGAATTAAGGATCCCGCTTGGAGAAAGCAGGGCAATAAGTAGGACTGCAACCCTGAAGTTCAGGCAAGTAAACTTTGGCCTCCTTATGGACTGACTGGAACAAATCCCATGCGTTAGGGCCCTGAAAGGAAGGGAAGCCCAATAAAGCTGGTTAATATTCAAGCATCACTTCCTCCAAGCTCAAGATTGCTTCACCCCTACGAGTAAGTAAAGCAAAGGGGGCAGGAGACCTGCATGGAATATCAAGGAGCTTCCAGTAAAAGTCAAACAGAAGAAAGAAGTCTACAGAATGTGGAAAAAGGGACAGGCCAGAAGAAAGAAGATTGAAGAAAACCAATGACACTCCAGTCTTCAAAAAGGGCAAGAAGGAGGACCCAGGAAACTACAGGACAGTCATCCTCACCTCCATCTCTGGAAAGGTGATGGAACAGCTCATCCTGGAGGTCACCTCTAAGCATGCAGAGGAAAAGAAGGTCATCAGGAGTAGTTAACATGGATTCACCAAGGGCAATCATGCTTAATCAATCTGATAGCCTTCTATGATGTAAATGACTGGCTGGGAAGAGGAGGGGACAGCATCGGATGTTGTCTACTTTGACTTCAGTAAGACTGCTGACACTGTCTCCCATAACATCTTCATAGGCAAGCTCAGGAAGTGTGGATTAGATAAATGGAGAGTGAGGCACATGCCTGTGAAATATTCCAGAGGGATGGAGTCTCTGGCCTGCTTTTCTAGTCAGATGGACAATAATAGAGTAAGGGCTGACACAGTTTTAGCTTGATCTCATTACAAACTTTTCTGTATTCTTAACTCGTACACTTACTGTTCAAACACCCGTTGACAGGCGACAACCTCCCTGCTGCTGCTTTCAGCTTCACCCTTTTACTTTCAAGTGCTGCTGTTTTTTTCTTACTGTGACTTCACTGTTCCCAGCAGCTGCTTGGCTAATGCACCTTTGTCCAGCTTAAAATAGTCAGTGCTCCTTTTCTTTTCAAGCCAATAATCAGGCCAGCTACTACAACTGCTTCTCTGGGGATGAATTCCTCTAAGCTAAGCGTGCTGCTGCTGTACTCTGGCACCTACTGTGCATGCTCTGCCAGTGATTGTACATGAGCTGAGCCATGCCCTCCATCCTCACTCAGTTCTCTTCCCAGGCACTCCCAGTATCTGGGCTCAAACCACTCTCCGCACTGCTTTCTGCAGGCTCCAGCCAGCACTGACCTCTGTGGTCTCTCTGTATGGCATTCTGGGCTCCCTATCACACCTTTAGGGTGAGGGCACTGTCTGCCCTTCCTTGGTATCCATCTGGAGAGATGCGTCCCTTTGCTTCATAGATGTTGTGGGCTTAACTGCAGGGTTCCCAGTGTGGCATTTTCCCCTCAGATATTAGGAGCACTGTTTTTTTTTGTAGGCTTCATTGCTTTTCCTTCCCATAAATGACATGATACCAGTGACAGCAGAATTCAGAATTAAACTCCTCCAGGATTTTATTTATTTTGCTCTTTGCTTAAAAACACATTATAAGTGCACGTACATTCTGTAGGCATTGCTGTGTTTCTCAGATCACAGTGTTACACGTTTGCAGTTCATCTATTCTTCCAGAGCTAATTGAAAAGCATGATGTCTGTTACAGCTGGCCATTGTCAGGAATAAGGACACCTCCAACTTGTTTCCACTCCACTGGCAGCTGCTGCTTTTAGATACAATATGAAGCTTGGATTAAACCAAATTTCTGGAGTTTAAACTTTGCTGAGTATTTTCAGTTTTGTTCTATTTTTCGCTCAGGTTATTTCCATAGTTCATTTTACTTATGGTACCCAGTGTAATTCAGAAACCATTAAAATGGGAGGGCTGATGGAGTTCTGCCTCATTAGGTGTCTGGAGCAGCAGCAGCCCATGGCAGGCATGCCTATGCCAGCTGCAGTAGCCTGGGGACCCCACACCACCCCATCCACAGCACCAGCACAGCAGTTCATGCAGTCACACAATTACCTGAGCAGCCCCAATTGAAAAATAATCTCACAAGAGAAAAGTGGTTCATTTCCAACTGGATCAGTACTCTGATTCCCCCCCTCCTCCCCCCCCCCCCCCCATAGCCCTCCAGTTATCTGTGCTAGCAAAACTGATCCAGTGCAAGGACAAGCAACTGTGAAAGTGACCTGCTTGAGAAAAGATTTCCTCCAAAGAAATCCCTGTGGGACTACAGCCCAAGGCTTTGCTGCCCTGCAAAATGTTAAGAGATGGTTACCAAACTGCTGCCTTATGCTAGGGCCTCTTCCCTACAGGAAAGAGAGCTTTGTGGGGTGTTCTAATGTTGCATGACTTATATACACTGAAGGTCTTGGATTTGGTGAGGGAGACAAAGTTGGGGGCATACACCGGGGCACACGCGCCAAGATTTTTGTGGCTGCGATTGAGCTTGCCAGCAGATCCTCAGGACCACACAATTTGAAGGTTTCATTTCCAGGATTTAACTTATGGCTCCTACCTGGTATATTGGAAATGCTTTGTGGAAATCAGTAAATTTGCCTATTTCATGGGATTTTTTTTGTGAAAAACTGGTGCTCTAAAGTAGAAATTCTGTGATCTGGGCATAATCAGTCTTTATATTCCTTGTGAAAAAGCAGAGGCAGTATCTTACAAATAGGTATTCCAAACACAAAGCAATTTCGTGTTTATACCTATGACTATGGTATTTTTTAACTTTTAGAAACTTTACATGAGAAAGGTACAGTTGCTGAAAAAGCAATGAATCACTCAAGCTGAACTTTAACACCCATTCAACATCTAATTAGTTGAATTACAGCCACTTTGCAAAGGAATCAATCAATTCTCTAGCTTTAGTTGCCCCAGTGGTTCTGAAATTTGATGATGTTATCATTACTTCAGAGGAGACACTCAGTTAGCATTTTAATAAGTGCATTTTCACCCAGCAGTTTAGCTCCAAACCAGGAACTATCATAAGTTAAAATATTATCTGCAAAATGCAGATTCTCCTGGGCCAGCAAAGTGTCCACATTTGAAAACTTTTCTGGTAGAGCACTCTTATTACTTTCACGAGGATCAAGAGAATTACCATCAACCCAGAGCTTCATGATGTGCAGAATGAGAAGGTAATTAACAGGACAGAGTTTGAACTGAAGTAATACCTTTGCAGAAGCAGCTCAAAATGAATTATTTAAATTCACTATTCATGTATGAATAAATGGTGAGATGAAAAGTACCTCCAGAAGGTTTAAACTAGCCTTTAAATACAAAGCAGATGAATAACATGCTACCAGTTTCCTCCAAGTTAAGCAAATACATTTGATGTTTCACAGGAGAACTGTCAAGCCAAGGCTGAAGATGTCTGTAAAGTTTGAAGCACACAAGATAAAAGGATATATACACATATAGAAAACCCTAAATTGGCTTTGGTTCTTGACTATTCACACTGCTTCCTCAGGAAGAGAAGAAGGGTCTCTCAAAGCTTTTAAATTGCTTGGTCTGATTTCTAATCTATACTTTTTTTTTCCTCTGAGAAATTGTACATGAGCTCCTGGCTTCCACCTTCTGCTGTAGGATGTTGAGAAATGACTCAGGAGGTGACTTCTCTCAGGGATCCATTTGTTTTTATGCTGGAAAATGTTCTGTAATGCAAGCCATTTCTAGGAGAAACCCAGAAAAGACCAATGGCTATATCATATTTGAGGTTCTGGCTTAGCAGCCTTTGGGCAGCCTGGCTGTGTACTGAGAGAAAGATGTGTTTCTTGTGAGGAATCTGGTAGAAAAGCAGTAAGCTCTGAACCACACCAGGTGAAGGAAAGGGTAATTCAGCCCCACAGGTCTGTCCCTTGCCTCTCAGCTGACACTGTCTCTTCCCATTTCTCTCAGGTAGGCTGATGGCCTTCCAGCTTGACTTCACCTTTTGTTATCTTCCTTTAAACTATTACTCTATTTCTTCTGCTTTCTTGAGTACAACCCCTAGGTGAATGATGACATAGTCCAAAAACACTTGAAAGCTTCTCCACAACATTGTCAAACCCTTCTGGCACATAGCCACCATTAAGAAATTCATTTTTGAAAATTTCAGAAAAAAACAGATGGATGAAAACAAAGATTTAAAATGACAATGTCACATGCTGTGAGTCAGCACACAGTGGCAGCTTTCATTCCTGTTGTAAGAAACATTAGCTGCTGTGCCAGACTGACACTATTTGCTGTCTGGAGGGTTACACTGCTTCTTTTCCATGCTTAGTTTTTAGATCTGGCAATATCCTCATATGTGATAGCTTTGCATAAACATCACCACCACATTCATTTCGAGTACACTGCCTCTATGAAAGTTCATTTTCCAGTCAGATTTCACTAAACTTCATTGCTCCTGGAAAACAAAATGACACAGCATTTCCAAAAGGTGATAACTATCAAAGAACACTGTTGGTCTCACATTTACAGCATTCCAGTTTAACAATTTGTTGCTTTCAAGGTTTAGTCAGACATTAGGAGAGGAGAGAGAGGATAAATAGGGAAAATGGAAACTTGACAGGCCATCCTAGAAAAGGACTGAATGTCAGCTATGGGAAGCAGTAGCTTAGTTCTCAGCCACTGCCCACAGCGGGGAAGATCAAGGCTGGATTTGATGCATATGTTCTTCGGTTGCTGTCAGGGGAATTACTGCAGCAAAGCAGGATTTCTCCTCTCTGTTACAGAATTGGGGATCTCAAGAGACTGAGGTATGGTAAAGTGACCTAGAAGATTTGCATGGAAATTTGAATGAATAAAATAATTAGGTCATACAGCCAGCAGGAAACTCTGCTGAGAGCAGAGCAGCCAGACAAGGACAGAGGTTGTAGCTTTTATCATGCTTTAGAAGGTATTCTCTTAATTACTACAAAAGTATCATTAGATTTCACCTGGTTAATTAATATACTACCTTAATTATGTTTGGTTATGAATCCTGGAAGGGTTAATATTTCCTCAGATGTAAGGACCAATATTACACGGCTCCCATTACCATCCCCAGTCATTGAAATGACACACTGTGTCTTTGATATAATTAGCATTACAACATCTCCATGCAGGAGGCAAGAAACTACTATTTCTTTTTTCATTTGTCAAGTGGAATACAAGGGAAATTTCCTGCTGATATCCTAGGGCCTGAAACAATGTCAGCAACCCACTGTAGAGCAAGTGTCTGAATCCAGGACCCAGAATTTTTAAGTAACTCCCCTGACTCCTGACCCATAGCTGCTTTTACAGTGCTTATGCAAAAGGTTACATGTCCCAACAAGCCATGACAGGGTAATACACCACTGATTTTTGGTCTCCTTTATGTTGATAAAGATACACCGACCTCTTTTTGCTATTTGTCCTGTGTCCCCTCCCCATATCAGGCTCTAGCGGGTATTTTATACCAAATAAGCCAGTCTCCTAACAGCCCTAGAAGACAAACATGAAGAAAGGAAATGAAGGTGTAAAAATAAAGGGAGAACCACCTCTCTTGATGTAAAACCAGCTCTTCACAGCAAACCTATGCATTTCAATCTAATCTTCTAGACAAAGTTCAGCTTCCTCTCCCAGAAAGCTGTCTGCTATCAGCACAGTGACCCTGCACATGCTAAAGCCAAGTCCTAGCTTATACAGATCAAGACCTCCTGGTAAAAATATGCTGATCTCTGAAGATGAATGAGAACAACAAACCATGGACGTGGTTCAGCAGGAAATCTAATTCTCCATGTTAGGTTTCTGTATGAATTGTGCCTCACTCAGCTTAATGCATTTGTCCTTCACATTCATGGACACAACTTTTTAAAGAAGCAGAATGAAAGACAAATTAAAAGAATGTGCAAGGTACTGAAACAACTAATCTGTTTTCTCTCTTGGTTTAGGTATGAATCCTAGAAGAAAACAACACGACTGACATGAGTTAATTTCCTTTCCATTCTCTTCCCATTAAAGATTATGAAATAGTGAATTATAAAACAGCAAATTCATAATAGACTAAAATCGCTTTTAATGCAGAGAATAATAAATGTGTTGAATATTTTACTATTTTAAAAGATTCAGATGTAAACCTGGAGGAAACATTTGTACTTAACGATATGAGCAAAAGCAATTAAAGTGACAGGATTATTTTTTTTTTTTTTTTTTACTCCTTTTTCACATTCCAGTCACTTCAGGATGTTTATATGCCATGACAGCCAGTCGTAAGCCAATGAACCAGATCCAGAGCTTGTAAAAACTGATGAAGTTAGTAGGACTAACCCAGTTTAAACTTGCTGACACCTGGCCCAGGATCTCCTATGAATGCCTCATATTTCCTTATCTTTGTATATTTATAAACACTTTAGCTTTTCTTTCTGCAGAGCTTTCCTGGTATGCCCTTGGCTGCACAAAGCTGTAGCTGGTGGCCACTGCAGTAGTATGCTACAGAGGAGTGCAACACTAGGAGAGGACATTTTATAATACAATATTTAAACACAGTGTCCCCAAGGGAGAGGTATGGAGTGGTCAGTCCCAGGTGTTTCTCTGCCCTTGTCCCATGACTGGAGGTGCACTTTGAGGAGATGCAGTGCCCAGATCATTTCTCCACACTGCAGAGCAGGGAACAGGACCCTTCCTGCTTAGCTTTGTATAATATGAAATGCAGAGTTGCCTGAGTAGCCTGAAAAGCAGGAGCTTTTCAGTTTTGCATGGGAAGCCTCTCCCTGGATCACCCCAAACCCCAGACAACTCCATTTTGTTCTGGCTTAAAATTCCTTCAGATACCTCTACCAGGTACTCAGCTTGTTCCCCAAGATTTTAAATGGCTCATTGCTTCCTCCCAAGCAATGAGCCATTAGCCTAAAACAGTTAGCCTACAGAAACATAGGTCTGTATGGACTTTAGCTTTTAATGTGTAAGTATGTACTGGAGCTACACTGCAACAGAGCCTGCAGAGAAAGAGGAAGCTGTATTTTATCAGGGTGAGTTTGGGAGACTTACAGACTCCAGAAATTAGTGTTATAAATTTGTCAGCAGGTGATGTGTGGCTGCAGAATAATCCCAGCACTACCCGTTGTGTCCTTTGGATGAAACATTAAAGAAGAATGGAAGTTAACTATGCATGAGATGCACTAAAACTCTATGCTTAAATAACACCCATCCACAGTATTTTCTTATTTCATTTCAAGTCGCCTTTTTTTCCGGTGTGGAAATTCATAACCAGATGAACAAGTATTTTCTTCCTGAGTCTTTTATTTAAATGCTTTCACTATGCCTTGGAGGAAAGCAGATTTTTACATCCTTGTAGCAGGACTGAAACATGGAAAGGGCAACCATTTTATGCTTGCATTGCACAAGACCATTGACTACAAAATATGCAAGACATTGGAGAACATTTCCCTTCTGGGATTGATTCAAATCTCAGAACAGGGTGATTTCATTGTGACCTCCCTTTTCATGTCCCCTACAATAATTCCATGACATTATACTAGTTTACCCAGGAGTATCTGAGACATGTTAACTACCCACTGAAACAAATGGAAAGCTGCCCTTTTCTAACAGAAAGAATTCCATCTATGCAAAGTTATCTGAACAGAAATAGTTTCAAATACTGGAAGTTTCTACCTAGATTTTGTTGTTTATCACAGTTCCACATAACATAAATGTAGAGTTTTGCTTTAAAAAAAAAAAAAGTCATTTAACTGAGTGAAGATGATGGTTTCAATTTATTTCAGTTGGAATATGTATCAAAATGCAGATTAACACAACATTCTGGTTTTAATAGTTCCCATTAGAAACTTTAGACATAATGTATGTCTTTTCTGCTTCAGTGTTGCTTTAATATTATTGGTAAAACAACCTATGTTCCCCACATTAAAAAATAAAATAAAAATAAAAAACTGGAGGGTATTTTTTTTGAGTAAATATTTCTAATCCAGACTTTGTAAATGCATTGTTCTTCAGAGAGAAAATTAACCTCAATACTAAAAAACAAAAGCAGCAAATGCAATTGTTTTAGTAATCTTTATCATTTTGAGAATGGTGTTGTCAAGTCCTTGGATGTCTCCTTTCTGATGAACAGATTGATTTCTGGCATCAGCTGTAAAGTTCTCAAATGAGAGGAAAACAATGATGCTTGAATTAGCATGCTAAGACTTTGCAACTTATAAGTCACTAAAGCAATGAACCTTTTACTTTGTGACACCAACACCTTCAATAGTTTGAGTTATAACCTGTTTCTTGTTCAATACCAACGAAACAGTATACTTACAGCAGATTTTGATGTAAGTTAATAAGATTTCTCAAAGTTTGCCCTACATAAACACTTCATTTGTGTTATTTACTCATACTGAAAACCCTGGTGGCATAGCGCGAATATGAAAAGATTTTTTTTTTTGTTTCCAGGACAGGGTCAAGACATTTTTACTGTAAGATAACTAAACTCATCTGCTTTAAAGCCTTTCTCAGCTGGACAACCGTAGAAGTGATTATCTGTCAGTTAGCTATATCAGTTGAGAGCCACTTCGTGAAAGCTGACAACTGTATGCTAACAGATGCAGTACAACCAATAACAACAGGTAAATCAAATCTGAACCACTTATCTGGAGCTACTTGTGGATCTGTTTCTATTCTGGAAAACATAATAGATGTGGAAAGGAGAGGAACAATAATAGTGGCTTGGTTGTTAAAGGAAAAAGTACTGATCTGTTCTGATCTGAAATTGGTACAGAAGTTGCATTCTCAGGTTTTCTCCTTTACCAAGAGTCTTTCAGAAATGTCATCTTTCAGCTGGAGGTAAAGGGAAATTACTTTTGCAGACTTGATCTCTTTTATGGCCAGAGCCAATGTTTTTGTATTTCTGTTACACCCATATGTCATGGGAGATATTCTAATCTGGTGTAAATTGGCATAAATCTATAATGTCCCCTTGAGGATGAGCACAATACCTCCTTCTCTGTACATTACTGCTTATTGTGTTATCACAAATCATTGTACCTAACGTTAAGAGACTGATCTCATTTCAATCAGCATAGTACTGGTGTTAATAACAGTACAAATTGAAAACATCCCTGGAAAAACTAATGCTTAGTTGTCTTCGGGAATGAAATACTGAAGAACCTATTGGTCTTGTGTTAAGTGGACATCATCTTCAAGAATATTAGATGGATTAAGATGACTTTCAACCTCCTCAATACAACCCATCAAATGCAAACCCAAACCTACTTTTCTGTAAACAAACTGTCATCCTGTTTTATGATCACAGAATCACAGAATTTTTAGGTTGGAAGAGACCTCAAGATCATCAAGTCCAACCTCTGACCTAACACTAACAGTCCCCACTAAACCATATCCCTAAGCTCTACATCTAAACATCTTTTAAAGACTTCCAGGGATAGTGACTCCACCACTTCCCTGGGCAGCCTGTTCCAATGTCAAACAACCCTTTCGGTAAAGAACAACCCTTTCGGTAAAGAACAACCCTTTCGGTAAAGAACAACCCTTTCGGTAAAGAACAACCCTTTCGGTAAAGAACAACCCTTTCGGTAAAGAACAACCCTTTCGGTAAAGAACAACCCTTTCGGTAAAGGGTTGAGTACATTTGTTCTGATAGTACACGGAGGTATGGTATCATCATACCTCCGTGTACTATCAGAACAAATGACAATAACATACATGTAAGTTGTATTGTTATCTGCTTGCAGCTGTTAGAATCACATTTCTGGAGAGATCCAAATATCAGCTGTGAAGATTTCTTTGAAATAGAAGAAAAGCACAATGCAAAATAAAGGGATTCACTCACAGTTTGGATAGTGGGAAGACTCTCTTGCCATCAACCGCATTTTCCATTCCATTCTTCTCCTGTCCTCCCTTAGGAAATTTGAATCCCATGTCCTGAAATATGTCTTATCGTCATTTATAAATATGTATGACCTATAGTCAGCAGAATTGTTAGTAATTTAGATATTTCAAGATGCATTCCTGTGTACAGAGGAAATGACCATTCACGTGAGACTTCTCAGAACCATCAGATTTCAAAAGGCTTTTATTATATTGAGAGTTATCAAATTGGCCTAACAGCTTTTCTCAACATTTTCTTATCATTTATTTTTTACTGCAACACTTAATGATGGAAAATTGTTTCAAAGATTGGAGAAATGGATGATGAATTTTGTACACATTGTACACATCTTATTCCACTGATCTTAGTAGAAGCTTATTTAGGGAAAGTCTGTAGATTTTGGTATTTGAAAAGCAGTTCCATTGTTAGCTATATGAAGCAAATTGTGGGATTGGTGTATGGAAAGAGAAGTTCAAGGAGCTACAACAGGGAGCCATGGAAATGAGAACAGGACCAAAAGATTACTTTAAAAACTCAATATTTTTTTCCTTCTAAATTTGAGACATACGTAAATCCCTGAGCTCTGCTGATTTTTGATATCATAAATATCCTATACTACATCATAGACCCGTAAAACATGGTCCATGTTTCTATTTCAATATAATCCTGAACACGTTGTTCTACCAGAAATTCACAAACTAAATATAAGTAGATTTTTAGGCCTGAGTTCTGGAAATAGAGAAGCATGTCTTTGAGAGTCCTCTAGATGCCATTGTGTTTTGTCAAAGTTATCAGACTAAATTCACACTCAACACAAGTCATCTGAAGTCAGCAGCATTGTACCAGAATGAACTTGGCTCAGTGGGACTGGACTCAGGGTAATATTTAGTTCATGTTGTATGTAGTACAGCAGAAACCTTTTTGTACTTTTTCATTTTTTTCAATCCTACTTGGCAAGCATTATTGCTATGTCAGAAGAGGGTCTTTCTGCATCATAAATGTAGACTTTCTTTCTTATCTTAATTAAAACAAATTCTGCCTATTCGTTAAATTACTCACCTATAACATGAATGATTAGAAATGCTAATATAATCAATCTATCTACAGAGGTAGGAAAATTCCCATGCCTAGATTTTAATGACCTTAAATATTTCTGTATAAGGCATCACTTTGAACAGTTTCCTATGGTTCTTCATCTCTCATAGTATCAGCAGGTGCATTGGGAGAATATTTTTTCTGTACCTCAACAAAATCATGAAAAAACAAGACTGCTCCTCTCATGCTGGTGTGGTTATAAGGAGATATTGTACACAGGTCTGGAAATGTTCACCTTCAGAATACGAAATCTTTTTTGCATTTGTCAGATTGCCCTAACACCCTTGAGAAACATTGGCTCTCTCCCTCAAAGGAAGCATTATAATAACAGGATAACCTGCACTGGATTCTCAGCTGTCAAAAATCATTTTACCTTTTTCACTTTCACTAGAGTTATGCTTAAGCAATGCACCTGTGTCACCATCCCTGACACTGGTCTCAGTCTCGCTTGTTTCCTCAACACTCGCGTTGGACTGTGAATTGCCTCACTGGAGTTTCCCCATATAGCTCCAATGTCTCATTCTTCCACTGATGGACATGTAGTAGCATCAAACCTTCCTAACCAATCTCAGCAGCATCTCATCCAGCACCATTAACACCACCTCACACAGCACAGGATGCCTGTTCTCCAGCATGCATGAAGTCCAAACAGGTCATAAATAACCCTAGTTTATGAGGAATGCCACTGCAACACAGAAACAACTTATTGTGTCTGATGTAAGGCAACAGGTTTGATTTTGTGAAGTGCCCTTGTGACTAAAATGCCTGTGCTGCTGACAAATTGTCAGTGATAGGTATCTAAGACATGGCATTTCCAGAAGAGATCATTATGCAAGGTCAGTGCCTTGACTTGCTTACTGCAGGAACAGAATGAACCCTTAGACCCAGAAGTATTTAAACCTGTGCCTTTGTTATAATCCATGAAGGAAGCCTGCTATAAAATTGTAATTCTGATTCAATTTGTCACTATCTCCAACTAAGGCACAGGTAAAACACTAAATTTAGGAAATAGTTACAATATTTTAAATAAGCAATTCAACAAGTGTAGGATATTATTGTATGATAGAGTTGCTATCTTTGCTTTCCAGAGATAGAGTATGCTAATGTGTGTTATCTCAAAGTTTGACAAGGAGATGGGGAAGGAAGAAGATACAGTAGTCTGTCAAAACGCAGATGTTAATAATGCTCTGTAAATGAAGTCAGGGGGACCCAAAGAATATTCATTCACTATTTGGATTCATTAAAAATATTGCATTTCTTCAACCTGTTTGCTGATTGTTCTTATATGGTTCTTTAACTTGTCACGTACAACATGACATTGCTTAGCACTTTATGGACCAAAAATTGGTCTTTGCAGGCTCTGGCCACCATCCTATATTTCTTCCCACAACTTAGCATTTAGGCCAAAACACAGATTTTGAGGACTCTTAAGAAAATCTCATCCTAACCTTTCTGTAAAAATGGAATAGATCGATAATTGTACATTGGCTCTAAAAATAGAACCCCTACCAAATTCACATAATACATCTGACATAAGGAGGAAATAATAGATGTGATATTTGCAATAACTTCAATTACTTCCAAGCAAAATCAGTTAAAAAATGATGTTCCTCATGAGATTTTTCCATTTTTTTTCATTGAATGATTAAGCACATGCCTCCAACTAAATATTTATATTTTTTATTTTAGTATTCACACAAAAAGCTATTCCCTCTCATCTCTAATCAAAATTTACATGAATTGTGTAGTGCTTTTCACTTGGTTTTGCAACTTGCAAATGAATTGAATAAGCTCAGGAGGGAAGTCAAAGAACTTAATATGAACTGTCTAAAAGTCTTGCCTGAATCAGCTATCTATCTGTGTGGTCTATCTGAAGAAGTTGTCACACTAGTAGAAGTGACCAAGCAAAATTCTCGAGGCAGGTGAAATTAACTGTCTTCAGGACATGTCTGTTCTCTCTCCATTGACTATCAATCAAATCTAGGTGTTATTAGAAACCTAGTAGAATTTAAATGGTGAAGCCATATGGGATGTATACTACTTGAAAAAAAAAAAATAAAGAGGAAAAGTGCAGTTTAGTGACTCATCCCACCTGTACTATAGCTTTTCCAATACTTGCAGACCAGTGTTTCAGGCTCAGAAACATGCTTTACTTCATGTTATTTCAAACTTTGATTTTTTATTGATTATATAATTTAGACATTCTGTGACTAGGATTAAAAGTGAGACAAATATAATTAAAAAATAGAGTTTAAGAATAAAATTACAATGAAATCCAACCCCAGTTCATTTACCCATTCTAATCTGAATAGTCTTTTAGCATGTACATAAGATCATTGATGCCAAAATTTACAGGAATATACCCAATCTATTTGCATCCACACACTGTGGACTTTCTTTGACCTCCCAAACAACTATGTTCAACAAAAGAAAGGATCTCTTCCAATGATTTTGATAAGCCAATAAATCAGTTTTTCTAGTTCTCTAGGTGAGTTGACCCTTTTTTCTGCCCTCAAATTGCAAGGAGAATGCTCTTTAAAGCACTTAATGGCTGAATAGCCACATGTAAGTTGAAATTCTAAGACACTAGTGAAAAAGTTATTATATAATTCTAACACTACAAGGTGTACAAACATTAGTTTCATGTAGGGTTATAAACCTACCATCTATTGTATTGTCACTTATCATTAATATAAGTTTCTAGTTTTCTGGTCAAGGGTACATTAACATTGTTTTTGTGTTAGTTGAAGACCAATAGAATTCCACAGAAAATTGCTTCTTTTTCTGATCCATGCCCTTAAGCCGAGCCCCTGATAATGTCTTAATTGCCATTATACTGCCAAACATTGATGGAAACTCAAAATTACAAGGTGGTTGGAAATCTTTGTAGTCAAGCTTTGAAGTATCATTATTTCAGAAGCTCTTAAAATTGTTTAGCTGTCACAAGATATTGAACTTATTTTTTGCAACTCCTTGTCATATTTAGAGATACATTGTTTTAATATACTTCCATCAAGTCAATTCCCTCTGTAGTAGGATACAGCAAAGTATTTGTATTTAATTTGGATAGTTGGTGAACCATAATATCCAGTAATTATCGCGTATAGATTTATTTTCTACATTATCCAAAATGTTTCGCTCAATTGTATCTTGTCTTGGGAACCTCTGAAGTAAAAATGCCATGGCAGAAAGCAATGTTTCTTAGCTTTCCTGTGAATTACTTGTCAGAGAATTCTAACTATGTGCAAAAGTATAAGCTTTAGGCAAAACTTCAAAACAGACTTCAGTGATCTTTAATGTAATAGAAAAGGTAACAATGTTAATAATAAAAGCTAATAATACTTACCTAACTGCCCAGAAATCTTGTTTCAACAATATTTGTTAAATGGCTTGAAATCAACAAGTGAATAGAAATAAGCTACTTCAGAATGCAAACATCGTGTTTGTGTACTTAGAAAAAAATAAAATTTTCAACCTTTCCCACCTGTTCATTTGTCTTTGTCTGTAGGAATTTCATAGAGCACCAAACATCCCTTTTGAAATACTTGGAATGAGTCTCATATACTAGTTTTGAAGAACAGTGAAGAACAAATTATCATTATAAAGCTGCAAGTTAAATGGAATTATTCACTTATATCGACTTCAGTGAAGTGATGTATGGCTACATTGTCTGAATTTTGTTCTGGTTTGATGAATGAAATACACAGTAATTAAATACTTTTGAACACCCAAGCTATTTTTTCTTATAGAGGACAAGCACTGGAAGATCTAATACATGAAAATTATCATATTGTTATTTAGGAAGCTAGGGAATGTAAGCTGGGACAGCTGCAACAAGGGCAGACCACTCCATTTATGCACAGACACCTCCTGCCATGCAAACACCCAGAGAAATTCAGACCTGAATGTTTAATGTCTTCCAAGGAAGTTGCAATTAATTCAATTTTTAGGCTGGTCTAGGTTAACAATATGATTCTTCAATATGATGTACTGTCTGGTGAGGGACTTCAAGGCAATGCACATGACAAGGACTTTGATGATTCCAAGCTGAGTGGTGCAAATGATACCAAAGAAGGAAGGGATGCCATTCAAAGGGACCTGGACAGACTGGAGAAGTTGACCCATGTGAAACACATGAGGTTCAACAAATCCAAGTGCTGCAAGGTGCTGCACCTGGGTCACAGAAATCCTAGACAGAAGTAGACTGTGAGAAGAACTCATTGAGAACAGCTCTGCAGAGAAAGACTTGGGGGTTCTTGGTAGATGAGCCAGCAGTGCACACTTGCAGCACAGAAGGCCAACTGCATCCTGGGCTGCATCAACACAGGTGTGACCAGCAGGTCAAGGGAGCTGATTGTCCCCCCTCTACTCTGCCCTTGTGAGGCCCCACCCACACTACTACATCCAGGTTTGGGGCCCCCAGCACAGGAAAGATGTGGACCTGTTAGGACAAGTCCAGAGGAGAACTACAAAGATGATCAAAGTGCTGGAGCACCTCGCCTATGAAGAAAGGCTGATAGAGATGGGGATGTTTAGCCTGGAAAAGAGAAGACTCTAGGGAGACCTCATTGTGACCTTTCAATACTTAAAGGGGTCTTAAAAAAAAAAAAAAAAAAAAAAGGAGGACTCTTTACTTGGGTAGATAGTGATAGAACTATAGGAAATGGTCTTAAAATAAAAACAGATTTAGATTAGATATCAAGAGGAAATTCTTCACTGTAAGGGTAGTGAGGCACTGGAACAGTTTGCCAAGAGAAGCTGTGGATGCCTCAGCCCTGGAGATGTTCAAGGCCAGGCTGGACGGGGCATTGGCCAACCTGATCTAGGGGGTGGCATCCCTGCCTATGGCAGAGGGGTTGAAGATAGTTGATCTTTAAAGGTCCCTTGCAACGCAAACCATTCTATGATTTGAAGTGCTACAAGCATTTAGCAGGTGGGACATAGGTAATCTGACATCAAACTTAGTTTTACTGTTGGCCTAGTGAAGTGCTTTGTTAGCTGATCTTTACTGTTAAATGTCAGCCACTCTCTCTGTGGCGCAATAGAAATAGAGAAATATAAGCAGTGACTACCAACAAAATGAGGCCTACACACACAGCTTGATGGTGTTGCTTTCTCCACCTGATTTCTACTGGAAGTAGGCATCAGAGGATTTTCCTTTTGTACAATGATGTTGCAAGGCAGCAACAAGTGCCAAATAAAAGGAACTGAACATAAGGGATAAGTATTCCAAAATAATGCACGGGATGTGCTGTCAGAGATCCACTGGTAGGGTTGTTCAGGATTATGTTTTGCAATTCAGTGAGAAGACATAAGAGTTGTTGTAGGACCTGAGAGGAGTGGAAAATGCAGTCTGTTCTATCATATACAGTGACTTGAGGCTACCTAGGCAACAAGCAAATAGTCATGGCCTTCTTTGCTACTACCATGCTTCCAACAGTAGAATATGCTTTATTAAGCATTGGTAGCTGTTACAGCATAACTCCTTCAGCTGAAGTGACAATAGGTTTTGCTTTTATGGAAACCTCCAAATTGTCAGAGAATAAATTTTGCTATTTATCACAAATTCCTAACATCTACAGGAAAGCTTATGAGAATTAGATTTCCTGACAGAAAAATGGAGGTGAATGCAAGACCAAAACCAGACAAATAACAAACCACTTGTTCTTGAGGTATCTTACCTGAAATAGGGAAAAGTAAGTACCCAACATGATAAATGTTACTTTTTTTTTTTTTTAAGTACTAAAATGATGGGAATGAAGATGCATTTTTTTAGATGCTCTCTGAGCACAGTACTGAGACCCTGCTAGCTTCTTGTTCTGACTTAACTTTAAGTGTTGCCTTTTAGATAAGCATGTACTGTGCTTCATTTCACTTGAATTTCAGGCTGGGAACAAAATAATATGAATCAAAACTTTCAGTCCTGAGATGTTGCCTCAATTTGTGAAAATGACACTGTATTCAATGAACCCCAGCTTTACCTGGGTAAAACAAGCTTTACTTTCTTGTAGTTGTCTTCATATTGGCTGCTTTTATAAATATTGCTCCCCCCACACACCTTTTTTTTTTTGGCCCTTGGAATCAAAGAAAATAAGACAGTGATTGACCTTGGAGACTGACCTCTGAGCTAGATACATCCAACAGCAGCAGAACAAATGTAATTCTTTGCCTCTTCTGAACTTTGAGAATCCCTTATTATGTATCATTCTGCCTGGTGCTCTTCCCATGTCGTACACTTCTGGTTTCTTATGAGATTCTTTTGAATTGGTTATTTCAGAAGCCCCACGTTCAATATTTTCCAGATCACCCACTCGGTGACCATTTATGCATGTTCTCTGTGCAGATTTTAGAACAGCTTTTGTTTCCACTACTTTCAACTCACTTCCTTCTGTTGCAATTTATTGTTTTTGCTAAACAATGTATTCCTAGCATATTCCCCTTTAGTAAGAGATGTCAGCAAAGAGATGTCAGCTTGATTCCCCTGTAAGAGATGTCAGCAAAATTCCTTGTTACATTTGGCCACTTGGTTTATATACCATTTTGCCTTTCAGTAATGGTTGTATCTAGAGCATAAAAGAAAGCCTTTTCCCTTGCTACTGTTTATTTCTTTTTCCTGTTGCTTCCAAAGCATGGAGCGTTCACTCATTTAATTTTCTCTTCTTTTGGTCTCTGTACTTTCACAATCCTGCCCTTCCCATCACTAGACCGCCTCTTTCTTCTGCATTTCACAAGTTGGGAGGGGGATATGAGGGACTTTAAATTATATCCTAAGCTTTAAAGTATATCCACAAATACAGGAGAATCAGAGAATCTGTCATAATAGAATAAATTTGAGGAAAAAAATGGGATGCCAAAGGCCTTGCTCTTGTTTGTACAAACATATTCAAAAGTATTGCAAGAGACTAGCAGGACTTCCAAAACAGAGCTTGTTTTCTGAAAAGGGAAACCACCTAGAGCCTCCAGTATCTAACACACCCCATACACCAGCCACAGTCTATCTGGTCTGGAAATAATGATTCCCAGTCAAGTAGATAGCATGACAGGCTGCCCTCTGATATTCAGAGGGGACATCTCACTGCCCATGCTCCACCATCATGCTATCTGATTACCTCTAACTCATTTACTTTGACCATTTACTATCTCATTTTCCAGTGTTTTCTCATAATGATTAAAGCTCAGAATCCTTGGGAGATGCTGTTTTATTGCAACTGTTTTGGGCACTGCACAATTTCACGTACAGTGAGATCTCCAACATTTTCCCCTGCATACCTCTCCCACCAGCTTTATTCTGCCAACCTGCTGGCAGTGCAGATGCTACTGTGGCTGAGCTCTGCTCCTGCCATGGTCTGGACCATTTTAAAGAAGACACCCCCCTGAGTGTCATGCACTGCGTGCAACAGTCTCATTGGGTTAGGTGATTCTTGCTATATTGATAAAATCCGATTGTATTATACAGTTTCAGATCATTCTCTCCAGTAACAATCCAGTCAAGCACAGAGGGAACAAGAGAAAGCCAGCAGAAGTAATTTGAGTTGCCGCTCTTAAGTCTCTTATGTCCATTCAAAAATCCTATACTCTGTCTTTCCAAAGAGACCACTGAACACAAACAGCACGCTAATGCTGTGTTAATGCATGCATATTACTGAGCTACCTGTGACACACAATGATGCACTTTGTAGCACTCCATGTTGGAGGTGATCTGGCTCTATGTTACTTAAACACTGTGAACAGGGAGGCAATGCAGTCTCTCATTATAGATGCCCAAGGCCTTTCAACAGTAGTATTTACTTTAAATGAAATTGTTAACCTCCAAATTCCTTCAAAAATTTGTGAGTTTATCAAGGGAAGAACAGGTTGGAAAGTTATTTCTGCTTCCTTACTGAGTGAAGTGGTAGCTGCATGCTAAGCTTGTGTGTGCTCTGAAGGGGAAGATACATCAAGTGAGCATTTCCTGGTGAGTCTGTCCCAGTATTGCCTATACTGTTGATCTGGCTGGTTTTGACAGGCCAGAGACTTGTGACAAGCACAGGCTGTTTCCCACAGGCCTTCTAAATAAACAAATAAATGTTGTTATTAAAATGATAGAATAAACCCAATTTGACCTGGAGATACACAAAAACCTGGAATTAACAAATTGCCAATAGTCCTTTTAGCATAAACTTTTCACTAAGGATAAAAACAAAGGACATTACCTGTTAAACCATGACTAGATATGTTACACACATCTTGCAGCTCTGTATTCTCCCTCTTCTTTCAGGCCTAGGTTTACCAGGGACTAAGAGGGTTCTAAGTCACCTTTCCCACTATATATTACCTCAAAGACTGTGCACTTCCTGGTGAGTCAGATCACTCACAGCTGTAGCCACTTTTCTGAATCCTTTGAAGTCTTTACCTTCTCCTCTACCTCCATGGACATGATGGAAAGCACCTGGCCTTGTTTACAGTATCTGCCTCCTGACCTTAAAACTTTGGCCAAATTTCACATTCTTCAGTCTCCTATTGCTTTTACTCTAGTGTCCCTGATTGTTTTTCCCCAGTACTGTGTATTTTTATAGGGATTGGCTCAAACTGTTTATTGGAGTTCCTGCTTGTCATGCTATTAGCACTTTTGGAGCATGCTACGGAGGCATCAGTGTTCTTTATTGATTGGATTTTAAGTCTCCATGCACATGTATTTCTGGATAGTGTTAATCAAATACTCAAATGACTGTAACCTGCTTTGTTGTACAATGTGTGTGTTTTTTCCTGATATAAACTGAAATCAGCAAAAGGAGAAATGGAGGGAGAGGGGCGCGAGTAGGGGTGTTTCTCACACCAGTGGCAGCTGCTTCCCATGAGACCCTGCACAAGCAGAGTACCAGGGTCTGCAGCTGCAGGGCCATGAGACCCACAGTGCCAGAATAAAAGCATGGGAATGCAAGGGAAATATGTTGGCGAGGTTCTTGTGCTCTAGGCAGCTCAGGTGAAAGGTTACTGAGCTGCAAATAGCAGACCCATAACATTATAAATGTTGAAGCACTAAGGTACCTAGGCACAGTGCACTTTCATTTTCTTTTTGGCTTCTTTATGCCACATGTGATTCCTCAGATCTCCTCCATACCACCCTTCTTCATCTCTCTTCAGTCAGAGAAGTTTAGTTAGTCGTTCTCTGAGCAGTCTGCTCTGAATCTGTGATCATTCTAGTCATCATTCTCTGTGCTACTGTCAAACAATCTTTTGAGAGTGTTGCACTAGAATTACATACAATATTCAAGGTGCAGGGCATGAAAATATTTTAAGTGGCCTGCTGATGCTTTCTGTTTTACTTTTCCTCTCCTAAGTAATTCCTAACATTGTTTTTACTTTTTCACTGCAACGGAGTAATGCAGTGACCTTTCCATTTTTTATAAATCCCAAATCTTGTTCAGAGAATCAATTCAACAGTTGTAAGGCACTGGGAATTTTTCTGTTTCCAAGATTTTCTGTATGAAGTATGCAGACTGAAGCTGGATCACCACATGAGCTTGGGCATTTGGAAAGTCACAAATTTATATGCATGTAGACATGCAAAAAGTAAGGTTAAAAAGCAATTTTTTTTTTCAAGTAATTTAGACATGCGATATTTATGCATGGTTTGGGAGATATATCCATAATTTTGTAGTCATGGCCTCTGGGAAGAGGACTTGTCAGATTTTAGAATTGCTGGTGTTCTTTGCAAGTTTCTCTTCAGAAATTTGGAAATACCTAGAGGGGCTGTTGTGTTGCAAGCAACCAACCCTCATGAAGTTGATTTGGAGTCAATCACTAAAACTATTTTCAAATAAATATTCATTATCAAAGCTTTGTGTTGGATTGCTGTAGAACTAAGCACAGTCCCTAAGTACAGGGACAATGCTACTTCTTGTGTATAGAGTGAATACGCACAGCCTCTTCATCATGTCTGAACAGTGTTGATTCTCCTTGGGCTGCCATTTCTGGTGCAGAAACTATACAACTCTCACAAATATTAACCCATTCCTGGCTGGAGAGAGAGGAGAATGACAGCATTAGCAACATCAGCCCAGTGCTAAGGAATGTCATTTACCAAAAGCCATTGAGGACCTGATTTGAAGGTCTGACTCCCAAGAACCCCAGGGATTTGAATCTGCATATCTGCTTCTGAATGCAACGGGAAACTCATCTGCATATAAATTCCCATTGTAATAAAATGTTTTGTGTTTCCCATGCAGCTGAGATGGAGTAAAATGAGTCACTGAGGAGAAAGGGAAATATTTTAATCTCTTGGAGACTTTGAGCTGACCCCCATCACCTCTTCCCTTGCTACACTCTCAAGCAGTATCTTGGACACTGAAGTGTCCCTTTGCCTGGGGGGTGGTTTCTCATGGCCAACAACAGCACACTGAGTGGGAACAGAGCACACAGACCCTTAAGCCCCATGCTGCGACCCTGCGTGGCAAAACATCCTCTGTTTAGCATGCTAGCTGTTTGACTTTCCCCAGCAATACATTGCATCCAATGTGACCAAACACAAAGATCAGGTAATAAAATAGCATCACAGTCACTCACGGCTTGTCACTAACATTTGCTTTCTTAGTTGTTTTTGAAAGGTAAGGAAATCTCAGAGATTCTGACAACAGAGTGCAGAGATAGAATCCATAATAATATCAAAGAAATGAAATTTAAAATAAATAAATAAATTGGAGGGCACTTATCACACTTTGGCAGATTTATGCTAATCTGCTTTAGTTAATTTTTATATTTTTAAATACTGTCTATCTTTTCCAATTCTTTTCTATTACTTCTTAGTGTAAAAAATTTTTCTTCTTCACTCAAAAATATTGAATTTCTTTCTCTTGAATGATTAGGGAAAAAAAAAAAAAAAAAGATTTTGTTAAAATTGTTGAGCAAATCTCGTTATCAGAAGTACATGGCAAGTTTTGTATTGCAGTATAAGGTAAGTCTAAATTATTATTTTCATTAAAGTGTTGTCTCAGTAAAGCATTTTGGGCAGACCTGTAAACTGCTAGTATTCCACAAAGTCCTTAAATGTCTGCTTAAATATCAATCTGTTTCCTTGAAATTGAGCTAAAATGTGTTTTTTACTTCACAATGTAAAAGAGACAGGTGATTCACTTCCTCAGAACTATAAAGCTCTTCTCTAAATATATAAAATTAATGCAGGCAGGAAAAAAACTTTAAACCTCTCATTTGTTGAAAAACACTGTTCATGGAATTTGTGAATTCAGGCAAACGTAACAAATGCTTTTGTCAATAAAAAAGCAGCTGTTCCTCAATTTGGAACACTGTTTTGACTTATTTGAACAATACATTCAGCCTTTTTAATTTGAGACCTTTTGTTTCAAACCTGTCAGGTCCTGGGTAGGCAAAGGCACTTGCTATAGACATTATTCTTCTCCATTAACCACCTGAGGTTGGCATACTGCAGCTCTCTGTTCAGGTGGCTCCATCAGGTTGCTCCTGTTATGTGGCATGAACTCTCTGTGCCTGTTCTTTGGAGACAAAAGCAAGGTCATAAAGTTCTTTGAAATAGAAAATAAGCAAAAATCAGAATAGTTGATAGTACAGCCAGTGGGAATCATATCATGGATGATGTGAACCAGGACTTCAGAAGCAGGCACGCCGGTGAAGAAAACCAGGCACGCCGGTGAAGACCTAAGGGATGGTACGCTAGAATCAGAGGGGCTGTGTGCCAGTGAGGTCCTTCGGTTCGATCCACAAGGTGCTGAGTGTAAGGAGTCGCACCTGAAATGCTTCTACACAAACGCACGCAGTATGAGGAATAAAATGGATGAGCTAGAAGTCCTGGCCCAGTCCCGCAACTACGACATCATCGGCATAAGCGAAACCTGGTGGGATGAGTCCTGTGACTGGGGTGTTGCGATAGACGGTTACAGGCTCTTCAGGAGGGACAGGCAGGGTAGGCGAGGTGGTGGGGTGGCGATGTATGTGAAGCAGGGGCTGGACTGTGTGGAACTTCAGGTCGGCGATGGCAAAGTTGAGAGCCTCTGGGTAAGGATCAAGGGACGAACGAATAAAGGGGATGTCGTTGTGGGAGTCTATTACAGACCGCCTGGCCAGGACGATAGCGCCGATAACTTATTCTTTACAGAACTAAGAGAGGCCTCGAGATTAACTCCCCTTGTCCTTATGGGGGACTTCAACTTGCCAGACGTTAACTGGGAGTGCCACACGGCTGACACGAGCAAGTCCAGGAGGTTCATGAAGCACCTAGATGATAACTTTTTGGTGCAGGTGCTAACGGAGCCAACTAGGAAAGGTGCCCTCCTAGACCTGTTGCTAGAAAACAGAGAGGGTCTGGTGGGAGATGTGGTGATTGGTGGCCGCCTCGGTCATAGCGACCATGAAGTGGTTGAGTTCAAAATTTACGGTGACAGAAGGAAAAGTGCCACCAAAACCTCATCCCTAGATATGGGGAAGGCGGACTTCAGGCTGCTCGGGGAACTAGTCAGCAAGGTCCCCTGGGAAGCTGCTCTTGAAGGCCTTGATGTCCACCAGTGCTGGTCACTCTTTAAGCGATGCCTCCTAGAAGCACAAGATCAGGCGATTCCTAAATATCGCAAGTCAGGCAGGCGGGGCAGGAGGCCGTCGTGGCTGACCAGGAACATTCTTATGGAGATTAGGCGGAAACAGAGAGTGTTTCGCTACTGGAAGGAGGGCCGGGTGACATGGAAAGAATACAGGGATGCTGCTCGTGTCTGTAGGAAGAAAATTCGTGTGGCTAAAGCACACCTAGAGTTGAAGCTGGCTGTGTCTGTGAGAGAAAATAAAAAGGGTTTTTTTAGATATGTGAATTGAAAAAGGAGAACTAAAGAATACGTAGGGCCGCTCCTTGACAGGGAAGGTCTTCTCACAGACGATGACATAGGCAAAGCAGAGACGCTTAACGCCTTCTTTGCCTCTGTCTTCAATGCCGATGATGGGCTTCGGGACCCAGGGTGCCCCGAGCTGCAGGACCGGGACGGTGGGGATGACAAACTCCCGACCGACCCTGAACGTGTGCGGGATCTGCTACTCCACCTGGATCCCTACAAGTCCATGGGTCCGGATGGGATTCATCCCCGGGTGCTGAAGGAGCTGGCGGACGTCATCGCGGAACCTCTCTCAATTATTTTTCAACGATCCTGGGAGTCTGGAGAGGTCCCGGTAGACTGGAAGCTGGCAAATGTTGTGCCGATTTTCAAGAAGGGTCAGAAAGAAGACCCTAGCAATTACAGGCCTGTCAGTCTCACGTCAGTGCCTGGTAAAATCATGGAGAAGATGGTTCTCGAACGTATTGAGGCGCACCTGGGGGACAAAGCAGTCATTGGTCCCAGCCAGCATGGGTTTGTGAAGGGTAGGTCCTGCCTAACTAACCTGATTTCCTTTTATGATAAGATCACCCGTATGGTGGACCAAGGGAAACCAGCTGATGTGATTTTTTTGGACTTCAGCAAGGCTTTTGACACGGTTTCCCATAGGA